ATTCTTCCACAGGGAAGGCTTGTGTCTTTCTCACACTTAATTGTGGGTCATTGTTTTGTTGTGTTGGCATGTACTCACACTTTGGGTTATAAACCAGTGCCCCGTGATCTTGTTGCTGGGCTCACTCAGCTCAGGCTGTCTCTCCCACAGGCACCAGCATCCCTGATTCTGGCCCTCTCACTTTGCATCCTGTCCCACAACTCCAGGTGCGCATCTTGTCTTTCCTTGCCCTGCCCCCACAACCAGCCGTTTCTCCAGGGAGCCCTGTTTCCAGTTCCTTCTTATCATCGCGAATGCTGCTGTTTCCCCACTGGCCTGTTTGTTGACTGGCTCCCCCAGAACACGCGGGGTCTTGTCTGCCTCTCTAGATCAGCATGGAGGTAGGTAGGTTACACGTGCTACCTGAACGAGTGAGCAAGTGAAGGGAGCAGGCTGAGGCCACAGGCTGGCGCTGTCCAGGGCTGGGCCTCTCTATGCCCACTGAGGGGACCCTGAAGACCTCCTCTGTTGGGAGGGAAGGGGCTGCACCCTATGGGGCAGGGCAGAGCTCCCACCCCGGGGGCCTTTGGGGGCCACAGTCACCTTTATTTCCCCCCTTCCCAGGCCCTAGCATAGGAGGTGACCACGTGACCCTGGGTAAGTACTTCCCCTCCCTGCTCCCCACATTGGCAGACTCCTGGCACACAGTAGGTGCTCAGCAAACTTGCCTGTCTTTCCCCTTCCTCCCAAGGCCAGCCTGACCCAACAGGCCTATGTAGCCCCCCGTACCTGCACTGTCATGTCCCAGCCCAGAGTGTTGGCTGCCCAGCCTGGCAGCTCCCGGAGGGGACCCCAGGAAGAACCACATGGATACACACGCATACACACACACAGGCAAGCACGCACCAAGAGGAACACAGACATGCATGCAAAGACACAGGCAGAGCCCACGGGAACTGCCGATGAGGAAGAGCACTGGCAGCCTGATGTCATTCCCACGACTGCAGTGGGCAGAGGCTCCAGCACCGACTCCCTTTCACCTGCTGTGGCTATCTGCAGAGCGATCATCAGCCTCTGCAATGCGAGCCCTCCGAGGCTGCAGGCCCCTTGGGAGTGGCTTTGTCTCTTCAGCACGGACCAAGGCCCCGGCCCCTGTCACCTTGCCTGGTGCTGACTGGCTGATCCAGATCCTGCCTGAGATGGAATTACAGCCCCAGGCACCTGCTCAGAGCAGCAGTGCCTTCCCCTAGGCCCAGTGAAGACCGACTTGAGGGTACCTGCTGTGTGCCCAGGACAATGTAGAGACTGGGGACAGAGTCTGGTGGGCTGGGCGAAGGATGAGCTCTGGGGACTGCCACATGGGATGAGATGGGGACTAGAATCCCCAGAGGCAGTGAGGCCTCACAGGGACCACTGGGACGAAAGAGGAAAGGGGCTGTAAGGTGGGAAGAGGGGCAGCAGGACCAGGGCTCAGACCCAGAGAGGTGGCCAGAGGTGAGGTCCTAAGGGGACTTAAGCTGGTCCAGGTGCTGGGTGGTGGAGCAGAAGGGAGCCCAAGCCAGCCTCACACAGCTGAGACCCAAGAGCTGGACCCACCTCTGGCTGTGGAAAGTTGGTGGGGACCCCTGGAGGGAGGCCTAGTGGGGAGTGGGACCAGGTGTTCTCCCGACCATTGCTGGGGCCCTCCAGGGTCCGTGGTCAGGCTGAGCTGTTCTCAGACCCTCAGAGAAAAGACCCACGGGACAGGCCCCGGCTCTACCCCTAAAGCACCCTGGGCCTGCTCAGGCTGAGCCCTGGCTGCTTTTCCATTCCTGTGCTGGGCCTGGCTGTGCGGCTGGCACTGGGGATGTCTGCTCTGCCTGTTCTCTCCCTGCCCTTGACTCTCTGTGGGCTGGGCCCTGGGACCCCAGCCCCTTCTCCTGCTTTCTGCCTCTGCCCTCAAATGGTAGCTCTTCCTGTCTCTGGACCTCAGTGTCTGCCCTCCCCCCTGGTCTGGCCTCTGGCCTGGCCTCTGTCCTGGTGGGAAGGCCTGGAATGCAGAGCCCTGGTGCTGTGGCTTGGGAGTGGTGGTGGGAGCCAGAGCTCGGGAGGAAGGGGCTGGCAGTTAGCAGTGGCGTTTTGGAAGGACGACTGGGGGTGAGTGAGCACTTGGAATGGAGATGGGTCGACAGTTGGCGGTGGCAGCTGGAGCGGCAGTTGGGGCTTGGCAGGGGCACAGGCCTGGAGGACAGTTGGGGTGGGGCAGCCACGGGATTGGCAGGTATCCCCTGGCCCTGGAGCAGTTCTGGAGGGTGGTCTCGGGGAGGACTGGGCAGGAGGGCAGGGCCAGCTGGCACCAGACCTGGTGGTGCCATGCCCAGGAGGCCCACCTCGCTCCAGCCTCGGTGAGATGGCCACCCCAGCCATGGGTGGGGCCCTGCTGCAGCCCAGGTCCAGCCTCCAGATCACCCACAGGATCCAGCATGACGTGTGGTGGGCGGTTCCCTGGGCAGCCCCAGCATCCTCAGGCCGCAGCGGGCGACTCCCTCCCCTGCCTGACCTTGCCTTTCTCTGTGTCTGGGCTTCCAGCAGAGGCCTGGAGAGGGCAGGGACAGGTTCCAGGCAGTTCCCTGGGAGGGGGCAGGACTCTCAAGACTGTTGCCATGGGGACAACTGAGCAACACCACTGGCTGGAGAATAAACAGGCAGGTTCCCTGACCAGTGACTGAGACAAAGACAACCACAGAAAACCCAGCTGGGGGTGGATGAGGAAACGCTGCCCTGGGGACAATAGGGGTGGTAGTGCAGACCCTGGCAAACTGGTGGTGAGGGGCTGCCCAGGGGGACACTAGGAAGGAAGATGTGAAGGGATATTTGTTCTTCTTCTGTAATGTTTTCCCAGAGCTCCTCCCAGGCCATTCCTCACAAAAGCAGACCCATGAGGATCTTGGGTCCCTGAGAAAGCTTGGTCCCTGCTTTCTGGGTGGTGACAGAGCACCTGGCATGGGGCTGGGTTCCCCCCTCAGCTCCTCTGCCCCCTTGAAGCCACACAGTGGGGGTGGAGGGCAGATGCCAGCTGGCAGAACAAGTGCTGCTGGGGTCTGTGAGCACAGGTTTGCAGAATCTGTAAGTGCAGGGACTGTGCCAGGACCCTTTCGGGGGCCATGCCTGGCACATGGCTCTATTTGTGGCTCCAGTTGAGTTATCCCAGGTCTCTGGAGTCTATGGGGGGCACATTCTGAAGGGCTGCCACTGACAGGCACATCCATGGGCCTGACCAGCTTCTGCACCTTGGTCCTGAGTCCCTGTCCCTGGTCTCCCTCACAGGCCTGGGGTGGTCCCTTGGGCAGGTGCCAGACATGCTCACACAGGTGGCTGGGTGACTTTCCGGAATGATTGTGCCATGTGGCATGGACAAGTGTGCTCCACAAAGCCCTGACCAGCAGTCTATGCACTGGGCTAGTTCACCCACTCAGCAGGGGCAGGGACCATGCCCAGTTCACTTGGCACTCTCGATCTTGCCCCCGGGCCCCCCCAGATGCCCATATTCTGGTCCTCCCGGTCCGGGATGCTGGGGTCCTCTGGTCAAAGGGTGCCCCCAAGGCCAGACCCACACCCCCATCCTCTCCTGTTCCCAGAGATGTATCCAAGTTGGAGCTGCCGGTCTCTGTGAGGAGCCGGCTGGTTGTCAGGTGGCAGGTCCCTCCCTGGGTCTGTGACCAGGCTTCAGGGCGAGGTGCAGTGTGCCACATGCACCAGGGCCCAGGGAACCCCAGGAAGAGAAGAGGCATTGTGACCCAGCCTGGCCTCTGCCCGAGTCTAATCGCAGTGGCAGTTTATCCGATGCCAGGCGCTGATAAAGGTGGGGTTCATAGGGTTATGCTGCTGCCATCTCCCATCAGAGCCCAACAAGGTGGCTGCCAGAAGTCCAGCTATGGGATCTCCCCCACGCCCCCGCAGTTCTGCTGACAGGATGCATGCAGCTGCTGCTGTTTTTCTTTTGTGTGTTCCTTTCATTTTAAAATGGTAAAGGGGTTTATTAGCTCACAGATCAATAATGGTCTGGCGGTAGGGTGGGCTTTAGACACAGCTTAATCCAGGGCTCTGTCTCTGTCTTTTGGGGATTGTTCTTGGTTCTGCATTTTTGATGTATTGGCTTCATCTCCAGTGAAGATGGCTCGACCTTCTGTTGGTTCTTGGAACAGAAAAGACAGGAGTCTTGGTCACCAGTCACCAGTAGTGCTACTGGAGACAGGGGGCTTCTAAAACTCAGCTAGAACTTCTGCCCACAGGAGCAGCCCTGGCCTGGCAGGTGGCGCGGGCCTGGTGATGGTGCCAGGGAGGCTTGGTTCTCATGGGCAAGCCTCCTGAGCAATGAGTGAGCACCACTGTGAGCTCTGGTGAGGCAGTCTTTGCAGCTCTCCATTCCTGGATGGACAATGAACAGGGCGTACCATTAACTCCTTTCCCCTCGCGGGTGTCTGGGAGTGGGGGCGTCCTGTCATCTCAGGAGAGACTGGGGCTCTCTCTGAGGTCTCTGGGGCAAGGCTCAGGGCTCTGGTCCTCCCTGGTTTGGCTGGGCCAGGGGACTCTTGTGACCAGCCAGACCCTCCTGGAGTCCTAAAGGCAGCCGCTCCTCAGGTAGCTGTGCCCAGCCACCACCTCCCGAGGGCCAGGGACACTGGGCCTGTTGCTTTAGACCAGGGGATGTGACCAAGAGGGTCCTCCAGGAGAAAGGCATTGTCGGCCGGCTGGTTGGACTCCAAAGGCATGGGGCGGGGGTCTGCATAGCCGTTTCCGGACCGGCCAGCCTTGAGGGAGCGTCTGAAGCTTGCATGGTTCGCCGGCAGACCTCGCCTTGCCCTTGTTCACTCAAGGAGCGTTCCCTCCCACTGCCGCCTGTGAATGCCTCCTTACACGTCCCGAGAAAGCATCCTAGCGGCCCGCCGCCTCCCACCTCCCGAGGAATGCCGAGGCGCCGGCCCGCGGGGAGGCAGGACGCGGAGGGCTGGGGCGCCTCCCCATCTGCGGGCTGGCCGCAGCTCACCTCCCTGCACGAACGGCGACCGCGGGCGGACGGACGGGGGTGCGGGGCAAGGACCGGATCGCTTGCTTCCAGCCCCTTCCCGGGGACCCGCGCCCCCAAGGGGCAGACGACATCTCGGGAAGGACCGACGCGCGGCCGCCGGGGCTCCGAGTTGCCAAACCCAAGCACCAGGTCCGGTACAGGCGCAACACTGAGGGTTGCAATCCGTTGCCAGTCACGAAAAAAGACAAAAAAGGGAAAAAAAAAAAAAAGAAGGAGCCACTCAAGAGGAACTATGGTAACCACACCTCCTATCTTCCCAGCGGTGTAGAAATGACCCATGCAAACCAGACTCCCTGAAGCCATAGCCAATGTGAAGGACAAGGGATCCCCCAGGACAAAGGGCTCATGGCCAAGATGCCAAGTAGCAGTGCAGATAATGGCATGGAATTCCTCCTCTGTGCCAGGCACTGTGAGAAGCATTCTGTATTCATTAACCTGCTTATTCCTCAAAATCAGTCCTATGGGACAGGAGCATTATCCCATTTTACAAAGGAGCAAGCTGAAACTTGGACAAGTGAAATGTCTTACCTGAGGCCACAGAGCTAAGAAGTGGTGGAGCTGGAGTTTGAGACTGAATCTCCCAGCTCCAAAATTCCATCTTGCTGTCCTTAATATTTGCTGGGCTCAAGTGACTGGCTGTCTCATTGTGGGCTTATTTAATAAGGCTTCGATCATCAGCCTGATATTGTTAGGAAGATCTGTCCTTCCTACATCCAGGGCGATGCTGAGAGAGGCTCCAAATGAGGGCAGAGAACCCCGGTGGGTACAGGGAATCCCCACTGCAGAGCACCTTAAGGGCCAGGGAGGCCAGAGTGGGACCCAAGAGGCTACTTGGGGGTGTCGCTTGGGCTCCATCCCCCAAGCCCTTCTTATGTGTTTACAGCCGCACTAACCGTGACATCGTCAGCTGCAAGAGTGGGGTGTGTCACAGCATGAGGGCCAAGTTTTACAGTGTGGCACAGGAGGCCGGCTTCTGCCTGCAGGACAAGATGGAAATCTTCATGAAGTAAGGGCACACACGACATTCATCTGGCATCTACTCTGTGCCCACCAGGTGCCAGGACATGCTTCCTGCCTTCAGGGAGCTTACAGTCTCCTGGAAAATATGGGCAGACACAAAATAGCTGCATCTGTAAATATATAACTACAAACAATAATCACTGCCATAGAGGAAGAGCACAGGCTGCCGGGAGAGAGAGAAACCAAGGGGACCTAATTCAGGTTGGGTAATCCAGGAACCTCCCTAAGGAGGTGACTTTCAGCTGAGCCTGAAGGCTGAGGAAGAGCTGGCAGTGTGATGAGAAGTTCCAAGGCAGGAAGGGACATGGAAAATTTGAAAAGAAGCAGGCAGTGGCAGGTGAGGGCTGCTTCATGCACAGCCATAAATGGCCTAAGGACCCAACTTGAAGGGCACCAGCAGGCCACTGGAAGCTTTTCTCTTCTATTCTGGCAACCCAATAACTACCCCCCTTCCTAGCCTGCTCCTTGATTGTAGTGACCATCTGCCCCAATGAACTCATCCATTCAATAAAGTTTGCATGATGACCTTTTGGCCTTGCAGCATGGTTGGGCTGTCTGCTCTGGGCCAGGGAGTTAATAAAGACCAACCGCTGCCCCTTCCTTCTGGGAGCTCCTAGTCTAGAGGGGGAGACAGACAAGTAAACAGGCAATTACCACACAGAGTGATGAGGGCCAGCATGGGAATAAGCAGCGGGCTGAGGGAACACAGAAAAGGGATGCCCTGCCTGGCCCAGGGCAGCCATCAGAAAGGTCTCCCTGGAGGTAACACCATTTCAGTTTAATAAAAATAAGTGGCATTTCCAGGGCACTTACTATGTATTAGTCACAAGTGTAAGAGCTTTGTATTTTTGTATCATTTACCCTTCACAGCAATCCTATGTGTTAGGTGCTACTATTAGACCTATTTTATAGATGATAAAAGCAGGCTCAGAGATGTCCTGTCAAAGGTCCCCCAGTGACTAAGTCGTAAAGGTAGAATTCAAACCTGAGAGTCACATCAGAAAAGTAAGAGGGAAGGGAGTTCCAAGGAAAAGCAGCAGCAAAGTCCCAGAGGCCAGAAGGGGCACAGTGAACCAGGGAACTGCTAGGTGTGGCTGGAGCTTAGGGTGCTTGCAAGGTAGATAGAGGTTAGATCATAAAAGGTCTTACTAGCCCAGCTGTGGAGGTTGAACTTTATCTCAGAGGCTTTGATCATGAGCCCAAGTATAAAATTCTGGGAGAGGAGGCATGGGAAGGGTGGAGATGAAACTGAAAAATGTTGTAGAGACTGAATTATCCAGAGCTTTGGAGAGCAAGTTGGAGAAATTTATTCTGAGTAAATGGAAGCCATTGTAGGGTAGGAACATGGTTATATTTATAATATAAAGTTTCCTTGGAGAGGTAGGACAAATGCACCAAATGATAGGGAGTGAGGGAGAGAGGTACCAACAGAAGTTAAACATCTACTGTGTGTCTAGCACAAATCTCATTATATTATTTCATTCACACCTCTGAGAGGTAGGAACCATTACTATTCCCCATTTTACAGATGAGAGAGCTGTATAAATACAATCATTTGTAGGAAGAGAATGAGGGCTAATAAAAAGTGACTGGATTTAACAAGCAAATAGTATTTCAAGACCTCGGAAAGAGCTGTATCGTCTGTGGCAAAGCCAGATCCTAAATTAAAGAGTAGGTGAGAGGGTCAAGAAGGTCCTCATGAAGGAAAAGGTGTGGAAGTCAGATTTCACAGGGCAGCTAGGATGGTTAGAGGAGGAACTCTGATTCTTTTTCCTTTTACTCATCCAACCTTCTAGGCGTCAAGAAGAGAGGGGTCTCCAGAAGTTCCATTCTTTTGTCCTTGTCTCGAATATTCAAAAGGACTTAGCAAAAATGAGACATCAGGTCTCTGTAGGAAAAGGAGATGCAGAAGAAATGGCAGACCACTGGTAAAGACCCTGAGACCAGATAAGATGGTCCCTGAAAAGGGGGACGGGGGGGCGGGGGGCGCTGTTATTATAAGATCAGGATTCTGTTATCCTTCAAGACGTAGAGGGGTATTACCCCAAAGCTGTCCTTGGCCACCAGTAGAGTCCCTCCAAATAATCAAAATCCAGAGCACACTCAGGCAAGAACCCCCTCAGTTCCTGATCCACAGATAATACAACCAACTGTGTGCTCCCCGCTTACCTTCTGTTTGACTCACTTGCAAATGAGAAGGAAATAATTGCCAGCCCCTGTGGGAGAGGCAGAGGAGGCACACCAACCCCCAACTTTCTACAGATTCTTAAGCCTATGGGGCCACCACTGTATTTCCCAAATAATTTAACCCCTTGAGGATACAAAACCAGGCAGGCATATCCTGGGAACCTTTGTCCCCTGGCACAGAGATGAGAATAAGTAACAGCAAAAAGCAACATGAATTGAGTGATTATGGGTGGCAGATACTACCCTAAGCAATTTTCATAAACTATCTATTCTATTCCCCTCAAAAATCCCAAAAGTACATATTAGCCCCCATTTTACAAACAAGGAAACTGAGACTCAGAGAGGTAAATTCACTTGTCCAAGGTCACAATGCGAGTGGGTGGTGAATTTAGGATGTAAACCCCTGTCTGACCCCCATCCCTATGCTCATTTACAATATAGAGTTGGTGTCTGGGGAACTGTGATGTCACAAACCCCATCCTGGCAGGGTGAATAAATTGAGATCTAAGAGTTAGATGAGAAAGTCTAAAACTACTCAGAAACCCTTCCTTGACTTAATAAGGTGGAACAACTTACGAGCAGGTCCTGGGGTCTCAGCAGAGCTGTGGGACCTTCTATGCTCCCTCGCACTCCCGGAGCACCACTTTCTCAAGCAATATGTGGCTCTGGAGATACACGAGGCTCTCAAGAGGGGTCCTCATGGAAGGGGGAAGGGGTGTTCTGCAAACCCTCTCCCCTCTTTGCGGGGAGGGAGAAAGGAAGCTATAAACTAACTCACATGAAGTTATTACAATGGGAAACTAATGCTGGTTCTCACACAGTGGGATTCATCCATCTCTAGTGGTGGAACTTCTGGCATCCTCACTGGGGAAGCAGTTGCCATCCATAGTACCATGAAAATCAAGTCAGACAAACCACAGCCCAGAAAGAACAATGCTGAGTTGTGGCTCCTCTTTCATCCAGTTATTCATTCAGTCTTTCAAGTAATAGTTATTGAGCACCTACTATGAGTTAGGCAGAGTTCTAGCACTTTGAATACTGAATAACTTAGACAAGGTTCCTGTCCTCATGGAGAGTTTATGGTAAACAGGGAGAAATGAATAAATATATAAATATAGATATCATAAATATAAAATGGTATGAGTAGCCCAAAAGGATGGATGATCAATTTCTTCTTCAAAATTTTCCACAATGGGCATATATACAGCGGGGGGGGAGGGGGGTACTTTTTTTAAAGAGATTTTACTTCCTTCCTTAAGCCTTGATCATACCTGAATCATCACCTTAGGTTAGAACTAAGATAGGTTAGACCAAGGTAGGTTAGAACCTACCTGTTTCCACCATTTCAAGGATGGATTCCCAAAGTACCCTTGCCCTCTCTCATAACACTGAAATATACAAAGCTATGGCCCGAGCTTATATGTTATCAGGAAGATGAAAAATACACACACACACACACACACACACACACACACACACAATCTTGTGTGTGAGAGCCTCCTAAATCCTAGAAGATATTTCATGACTGTGTTCATGTCCACCGTGGCCTGATTAACTTTCAGAAGAGAAACTTCAGAATCCCAATGTCCCTTCCTTCCTTCTAGCTTTTCCCATTGTCCACTTAATAGGAAAATTATAGATGCATTTCTTGAAAGTGTGCCCTTAATTTGTTTTTTAATAAGATGTAAGCATGCCCCAGGTTTTACTATTCCTAAAAGTAAAGACTTACCTGATCTGTGGGCCCTTAACAACTTAGGATGGAGGAAAGGTCCCCCAGATAAAGACCCATTCATGCTGCCCTGGAGACATCACATGAGTGGTAGAAAGAGAGCAGAGATGAAAACCTGAGGAGCCCAAACCCAGACCCCAGCAGCTTCCTAACTGGCCCTCTCCTCTTCAAATTGAAGGTACTTTGATCTGCTGTCCAAACTCCCCGAGGATCTGAAGAACTTCCGCCCCACCAAAAAGATCCTGGCAAAACTGCAGAAGTTTGGGGAAAACCTGGACCTGAGGATCCGGCCCCACGTCCTCCTGAAGGTACTACACGATCTGAGGACCTGGGAACTGTGCTCCCCTGACATCGCTGTGGCTATTGAGGTAACCGTCATTTGTCCCCCATCATGCCTCAGGTGTTCACATTCAATCACCTCTCAACATTCAGTCATTGTTTAAATGCTGGGGGGTGCAGTGATAAAAAAAAACCACAAAGGCCCCTGCCTTCATGGAGCTCATGAAGAGGGATTGTCACATGACCTTGGTAGTTGGACTCCAACTCCAAGGGACATTGTACTCTATGTAATTGAAGGCCCCTGGAAACTCAGAGGCTTTGGGGAGACATAAATAAATGCACGACCGTAACATGGAGCACTCTAAATCTTGCTACTAAAAGTGTGTCCATGGACTAACAGCATAGACCTGACCTGGGTGCTTGTTACGTATGCAGAATCTCAGGTTCCAACTGATATCTGCCAACTCAGATTTACATTTTAACAGGGTCCCAGGTGTTTTGTATTCACAATAAAGTTTGAGGAGAACTGGTTTTAAGTAAATAAGAGAGGACCCACCCTAACTAGAGCAACGGGGGGAAGTGGCTTTTAAGCTGAGACCTGAATGATAAGAAAAAAACACCATGAAAAGAGGGGGAAAGAGAAAGGAAGAGGGGACAGCATGTGCAAAGACCCCCGAACAGGACACAACTTGACTTGTTGAAGGAAAGGAACTGATTGGCAGTCAACAAGCATGAAGGGAAGTGAGCAAGGAGGCACATAGTTCCAAGGGGGTGGCAGAGGTCAACCTGTGCAGACCTTTGAAGGTCAGGGTAAAGATTTAGGGCTTTATCTCGAGGGTGCTGGGGAGCCACTGAGCAGTTTTCAGTAGTAGTTCACCACCACCACCAGAAGTTCCCAGTGCTCTGCTCCCTTAGGGCATCAAAAGGCATCCCCACTAAGGACTCCACAGTAACATGTCAACAGACGCCAATGGAGTCACTTCCTTAATTTGATCAAATGGCATAGGTGCACTTTAACGGGGCCTTGAATGCCTCATGAAAAAAAGAGTAACTGGAATGGTGGAATCCTCAGGCTGAGAGAGGTTGTGGGGCTCTTGGTGTCATGCCAGGTTGGCCCTTCCACAGGATGACCTGGGAGTGTGTATATGAAATCAAGGTCAGGAGTGGGAGGAAGGGGACGACCCAGCAGACAGATCTGGATGTCCGGACTCTACTCCCCACACCCTGTGAGGTTCTTTCAGGAAAGACTCTAGCAAGCTAGTCTAAAACTAACTCTAGGGCAACTGTCCACCTCCTATTCACCAGTTATGGGGTTTAATTTCTACTTGCCAGTTATGGGGTCCCTGAATAGCTAAGAAGAGGGGGCTCTGGAGGCTCCCCTTTTCTTCATGGTGAGTTCTCAGACCTGGCTAATAAAACTTTGCATGTTCCTTTCTCAGTGAGAACATCACAGAACTTCTGATAATCTAGATGGTGGAGAGGGGTCTCTTAATCTGGAGTCCACATGAAACTCTGTGTTTTGTGTGTATTAAACCCTTTCCTGGAAAGCAAGCCCATAGCTGTCATCCATTCTCAAAGGAGTCTATGAAACAAAAAGACAAAAAAAAAAGGACAAATGACTTTTTAACTACCCTAACCCGATCATTATACCACATATACATGTACCAAAACATTAGATTGTACTCCCTAAGTATGTACAATTACAATACATCAATTAATTTTTTTAAAAGATATTAAGGAGTAGAAAAGAAAGAAAACTGCAGACAGCCAGGTTTTCCTTCCCTCCCCAAATTTCCTTGGGTTAATACCAACAAGAGGGTACTTAAAATTAGCCTGCTGCACCAGGAAACTGGAGAGGGGCCCTTTTCCCAAAAGGACCACCCAAGCCTGCTGCTACAAGCATCATGAATGCCTGAATGGTTGGAGGCATCCTGAGGCCACCAGTCTCAATCACAGATCTTCCAGGATCTTGAGGGGAGAGAGAGAGGGTAGAGCCTAGCTTTCAGACCAAATTCTGAGATTGCCACTATATTTTCCCCATAGTTTGTGCGAGAACACATCATCCATATGCCTCAAGAGGATTACATCAACTGGCTGCAGAACCGGATCAACATCCCCATTTGGCCCTCCAGCGCCCTGACGTAGTCTGTGCCTGGGTCGACCAGCTGTCCCCTTAGAGGAGGGCTAGCCAACTGTGTTCCTGTGTCAGATCTGTGTTCCTGTTTCCTGCCTACTCCCATGGACACTCATTATGATACAATAGGGTCATCAGGAGGCTGCCTTCTGACAACCTTCTAGAGGGAGACTGAGTCCCCCCTCAATTTCACACCCCAGCCCCAACCTCCCAGTCTCTGTTGTTCATTGCTCCAGCCTGACTCTACCTACTTCCTCTCCAGATTCCTTCACCCTGTTCCTCTTCCTTAAATTCAAGATAATAAAATTGAGCTGAATGTTTATGTCTGGCTGGGAAAAAGTTGAAGCTGTGGAATTTGGGTGTAGTATTCAGATCCTAATAATAACAACAGTTAGCACTTACTGAGCTTTTGCTATGCAACAGACCAGGTGCTGAGTGCTTTACCTTTATAATATCATTTAAATCTCACAGTAACTTGGTTTAAAAGGTATTGATGTTATCTCCATTTCACACCTTTGGAACTAGAGTGTATTTCTCAAAATTATATATACTGCTTTGGATGGATGGTTGGATGGATGGATGGGGCATTCCCCAACATGGCAATGGTGTGCAAGAAAATCTCAGCCTTCAGAGTCCTTGTATATTTTCTGGTGGTCTTGGTTGCAGAAGGAAGCTTATCTTCCTGTCATCTCAAAATGTGTGTGGGCTCGTTACATTTTCGCTTCTTTTCTCATCATGATCTTTATGCTCACCTACATTCTCACCAAGTTATAGAAACTACAGGCATTTTAACTCTCTCAGTGACGGCCAAGCTAAATGAATAATCGAACAATTGGACTTGATTTGCCATTATGCCAAGATTATCAGAGCATTCATGTAAGCTGGGCTTCAACATCTCTCCATGACAACCCAAAAGTGGGGAGGAGAGTTGAGTTGGAACTACTTTTCAGTGTAAGCAACATCTCACTCATCCATTCACCTATTCAGTCATTCATTCATTAAATGAATATTTATCAAGAGCCCCATATGCACCAACCATGTTCTGAATGCTGAGGATACAGCAATGAACAAGGCAGATAAGTTCTCTGCTCTTGTGGAGTTTATATGGAGACAGACAAGTCAACAAAATGTGATGGACAGGCAGAGGGATTACATAATATCACACGTCCCTCCATGTAGATACTCTATGTTTAACATGATACCTTCAGAAGCTATTTGCGGTGTAAAGGTGAGATACAGTCTGCAAGGAGACTGCAAAATTGAGAAACCCTAAACATTGCTGTATTAAATAGGAATTTGAGTGAGAGAGAACAAAGAAGAAAGGAAGAGGGCCAAAAAGAGGAAAAGGAGGAGGAGTTGGGGAAGGAGGAAGCGGAAAAGAGGGCAGAGTAACATCAGAGTGGGAAGGAATCTTGGAAGAAAACCAACCAGGGAAAAGTTCCCGGGGCAGGGCTTGCTGAAGGATCTCGAAGAACTACGAAGAGAACCAGCCCCTCGACTCCATCCCCTTGGACCTTCAGTAATTTCTGCTACACACCTAAGTATCCTCTGTGGGTGAGTTTTGAGGAAATAAAGAAAAAAGGGGCTGCGTTCTACATCTGGGTCTGCTTGGGGGCAAAGAAAGGGCTCAAAGGACTCAGAATCTGAATACAACAAAGAGTTAAGTAGGATCAGAAAGTCACAGCTCCCTAGATTTACAGAAATCTTAAATGGGCATTTGGCTTCCCACTAGACCTGAGATGGGGACTCAGCCAAATTGATGTAGATCTCAAATGTCAGGTGACCATCACAGCTGACATTTAACTACACTAGAGAATCAGGGCAATGGTGCCAAATTAAAGCAAGCACAAGAAGATCCCAGGGGACATGGGGGAGGAGAAAGCTAACTCATACTTGAGATGTCAGGAAAGAATTTCGAGAGGGGATGATAATACCTGCAAGGTGAATAGGAGTTAGCCAGGGAGAGAAGGGTAGGCAGGTAAGGAAGAAGGAAAGAATGGTCCAGGTACGGGAATAGCATGTACAAAGGCCTAGAGGCAAAAAGAAGCTTCATTTGTCATTTGGGTAATTAAACATAAATCCATCTGAACTATAATTTAGATTGGAAGTACAGGACAGAGAAAGACAGGAGGGATGTTGGAGTGAAAGGCAGAAGCCAAATTTTTAGATGCCTTATAGGCCATGTTATAAAGTTTAGACTTCATCTTATTGGCAATAGGGAGCCATGGAAGGATTTTGAGCAGGGGAATAATCAGATTTGCTTTCAGGGAAAAAAAAAAGGCTACTATGTGAATGCAAGGCAGGGAGCAGGGAGCTCAGATGAGGCTGTGGCACGATTGTGGGGAAATTAGGGCCAGGGTGATGAGGAGAAGGTACATATTGAAAGGATATTTAAAATGCAGAATCAACAAACTTGGTGTGCTAATTGAGTGGGAGATGCCTGAACGCAGGAGAGAGGGCTGCACTAGGGATTGGAACATGACACTCACTGTTACAAGACAAGGAGATCACAAAAGTTGTTTCATTTTTGTAATCATGCCCAAGAAATAACTCCGATAATTAAGCTTCCAGGCATTGTATTAACATGCATTTGCACTGCATTCCATACTTTTTTAGAATGCCTTCTCCAGTATTATCTTATTCAATACTCACAGCATCCCTCTGGGGTGGGCATTATTATAATTCCCATTTTGCAAATAAGGATATCAAGACTTAAAGTTGCTTGCTGACAGTCACCCAGCAGGTAAGTGGCAAAGCCACGTCTAGAACAAGGTCTGTCTGCCCAAGCAGGGAAGATGCTAAAATCACAAGACACTCTGCCCTCCCGCTTGGTACTTTCTGAACCTATTTCTCAGAGCTCTATCTCCATCTAGTGGTTTCTATTAGTATTACTCTCCCACCATGGCTTTCCACAAAACATAACCTTCCTGCCGAAAGGGAAGACAAGTTTTCACAGCAGTAATAAGACCTGCTCTGCTTTGACAAGGAGTATTTACTCAAACAAGGAAAGATCTCTTTTTTAAAATTTTCTAGTTCCTTTTTAATGATGATTTTCTCAGTGTATCTGCCTCTACATTTACAATAAATTATTTGGTATCATCCATGTTTGGCACATCATCACGTGCCTTAAGGGAAAGCCTGTGTCTGCAGTATTAGTAATTTAGTGTTGTGATTCCACTGAGGGTTGCGATCCGTTGCCGGACACGGAAAAAAGACAAAATAAATAAATAAATAAAATAAAATAAAATAAAATTTTCTAGTTCCTTTTTAATGATGATTTTCTCAGTGTATCTGCCTCTACATTTACAATAAATTCTTTGACGCTTTGACAAGGAGTATTTACTCAAACAAGGAAAGATCTCTTTTTTAAAATTTTCTAGTTCCTTTTTAATGATGATTTTCTCAGTGTATCTGCCTCTACATTTACAATAAATTATTTGGTATCATCCATGTTTGGCACATCATCACGTGCCTTAAGGGAAAGCCTGTGTCTGCAGTATTAGTAATTTAGTGTTGTGATTCCCTGTGTAGCTGCCTTAGCCTCCATCAGTCTTGACGTCTGGAGAATTTAGACTGTCTTGACCCAGAAGAGAAAATGAGCTCCAAAACCAATTATAATTAAATTTCCATGAAAAGGAACAACTTCAGAAGTCAGTTATTTAGTATTTGACACTCAAAATCAGAACCTAAATTGGGGACCAGGGGGACACAACACATCACCTCCCAGCTCCCAAGCTCAAAGAAGAGGCACAGGGAGAAATATTTTTGCTGTGAGCCACTTCATCAGAATCTTTATTGAGCACCTGCTGTGTGCCAAGCCTACTCCAGGGCCTTAGGATTCACTGTCCTGCTGCTCTGACCAAGCCATCAAAGTGGCTTATCATGGGAATTTTTTAAATGATATGTGCTTAAAAAAGATTTTTCTGTAAAAGTCCAGAGAGTAAATATTTGTCCCATGTTCTGCTTATATATGTAGTGCTTTATAAATGGAAAAACCATTCTTGGGTTGAAGGTCATACAGAAACAGACCACAGGTCAGATTTGGGCCATGAGTCATAGTTGCTGACTGCTGGTAGAGGGTAAACTTAAGGATGGAGAGGAATTTTCTAGTCTTTTTCCCAAAAACTGATGCAGGAAGGGATGGTAAAAATAACACAGTAAATTTGTAGACAAAGGAATTCTTTTTTTGGGAGGGGGGAAGGAATGTATGTATAGGGTAAAAATCTGAGCAGTGCAAAAGAACGTAAACTAAATAGTAAATTTACCTATTACTATTAGACGCCAACTCACAGACCCCACTTGCAGTTAGAAAGGCAGTCACACTGTTCCTAATAGCTTGTGTATCTTTCCAAGGACTTTCTGTGCATGTACAAGCCAAAAAAAGTTAATTAACTAATTACAATGAAGCATTTATTGTGTGCTTACTGTATGCCAGGGATTGTTCCAAGTGCCTTGTGTATTAATCTTAGTTTACCCTCACAACAGCTTTAGGAGGTAGGTATTACTCTGGTCTCATTTTACAGTGGAGGAAACTGGGGTGCAGAAAAGTTGAGAAGCCTGCTCAAGGCTACATAATTTGGGTAGGTATCCTGTTTTCTTTTTAACAGACATAGTGAGCCTAGTACACAAACTTCTGCATTAATTTGTTAGGTCAGTTTCTATCTTCCTACTTCATATAAAGGAGGAAAGTGGTTGAAGTTTCATACCAGTGAATTGAAACCAACAGCCAGACTGTCATCATTATTTCTCTTCATGGATCTAAGGTCAGGGAGAACCTGGACCAAAAGCTACAACCAATTGTAAAGAATGATATTAGAATTAAAGCCAATACTAATGTTTAAAAAACTCCCACATCGCTTTCCTCTTTACCCAACACTGCTCACTTAAATCCCTGATCCTCACCTGCATGGCTGAGATTGAATGTCCTGCCTTGTTTGGAGATAGCCAGGTAAAGCCATATGCAAATAATGTAAAGTAAGAATTTAATAAATGTGAAAATTTTCTGAGTGCCCTATGCCAGGTGCTATATCATTAATTCTATGCATTTGATGGTTGAATCTTTGTAAGCACCCTGTGAGGCTAGCATTATTGTGTTTATTTCCACTTTACAGAGGACAAAAAATTGAAGCTAAACAAGGTGAGGTGCTTGCCCAAGTCACATGCCTTCAAGCAATGAACCAGAGTCCAAATCCTGGTCATCTCGAGATTTTGCCATATATTTTTTAACTACATTACACTGCCTCTCTAATTATTTAGGGGC